CACAAGAGTACGGCAAGTAAATCAACTCAAGAGCTCTTGATCACAAAGAAACGATCAAACGAGTTGAGAAAAATAAACACAATAGAGAATACAGTCACAATAAGAATAGTTCAACAAGGGAGAATGATGTGTAACGACGATCCCACAAAGTACAATTCAACAACAAGGGAGATAACACGATTTAATAATTCCAAATAAGGATAAGTCAACCATGATAAAGGATAACAAACTTCTTTTAGGATTTAGCAATCACGAAAGAGGTACAACAATTACAATTAAGGATAAGCAACGGAAAGGATAATCATGACCTCAATTAAGGATAGACAATTACAGAAGAGATAATAATAATTTCAAATAAAGATAAGCAGTTAGGAAAGAATAGCATGGAAATCGATGAGGCAACAACTTTAGTTAAGGCACACAAGAGTTAAATAGGCAATAAGAGTGGAACATGAAGCAATTAATTCCAATAGAGCACGTAGAGGTGAAACTAGTACATGGGGAACTTAACATAACAAAACAACTTCATATCTAATGAAAATAAGAACCTACGATCCCTAAAAGGTCAATTTTCCACAAATAAGCCCGAGCACGTACTCGTCACCTCGCGTACACGGACTTTACATGATACAATTAGCGTAAAAGACTCAAATCCTAAGGGGTAGTTCCCCCACACAAAGTTTGGCAAGATATTTACCTCAAAGAAGATAGACCGTTACTCTAAAATGATCTTCTCGAGTGAAATAACCTCCGGACGGTTCAAATCTAGCCAAAATAACTTCAAAGCATAAATAAAACTCATAAGAAACTATTCCGAATAATAAAGCTTCGATTATTAATTAAAACTAAAAAGTCAACCCCCAAGCCCGCACCTCGGAACCCGGCCAAAATTACAAAAATTCGAACACCCAGTCGATAACTAGTCCAACCATACAAGAATTACTCAAATCCGACCTCAAATCACCTTTCAAATCTCCAAAATTTAGTTTAAGAAATTTTTACAATTTTTTCCCTAAATTTCCAACTCAAATCATTAATTAAATGATGAAAACAATGATATATTCATGTATATTAACCAAATCCGAGTTAGGACCACTTACCCCGATGAATTTCTTGAAAACCCCAAAAAATCGCCACAAACCGAGCTCCCAAGGTCCAAATGTGAAACAATACCCTAACCCTCGTTTATATAGTACACAATCTGACCTCCCATTTTGCTGACAGCACATTTTTTGGTGCGGTCGCACATCCTAGTTCTGCGGCCGCGATCTAAATTGTGCGGTCGCACTTCAGTAGTGATAGCACTACCAGGCTTTAGTAGATTGACCATAACATTCGGTACAAATGGCCAAATGATTAATGGTATACCTTTATGGAAACTAGATTCAAAGGGCTACAACTTTTATTTTTGGATCATCTCCAAATTTTTTATAGATCAAAAGATATAAGCTTTCGAAGTTATACCATCGAACCTGTAGAATCCCCTTTCTGCGGACCGCACAATTTCAACTGCGGTCCGCACAATTACCACTGCCTCCGCACATTGGAATTTTGTGTCCGCACATCCGCACTCCAAAATGTGCCCTCTGTACTTCAACTGTTCTAGGACATCATCAGGAGTGCCAAAATGCTCAAACTCGTTCAAAACTCATCCCGAAACACCCAAGGCCCCTGGGACCTCAACCAAACATACCAACAAGTCCTAAAACATAACGCGGACCTGCTCGAGGACTCAAACCACATCAAACAACGTCGAAACTATGAATCGCACCACAAATCGAACTCATGAATTTCCAAATCTTCCAACTTCCAAAACTCATGCCGAAACATATCAAATCAACCTGGAATGACGCCAAATTTTGCATGCAATTTCCATATTACATAACGGAGCTAATCCAACTCTTTGAATCTCATTCCGACCCCAATATCACCAAAGTCAACTCTTGGTCAAATCTCTCAACCTTCCATAACTTTAACTTTTCCAACTTTCGCTGAAATGCTTTAAATTACTTTACGGACCTCCAAATCCAAATTCGGATGCATGCCTAAGTCCAAAATCACCATACAAATCTATTGGAATCATCAAAACGCCATTTCGGAATCATTTACACAAAAGTCAAATTCTGGTCAACTCTTACTGCTTAAGCTTCTAAAACAAGAATCCTTCTTCCAAATTGACCCCGAATCATCCGAAAATGGAATTCGGTCACACATGCAAGTCATAACACACAATACGAAGCTGCTCAAGACCTTAAGCCACCGATCAGGATGCTAATTCTCAAAACTACCGGCCGGGTCGTTACATGAACAACATCACTCCTAACGTATAGAGAGATCAATACAGGGGGTTTAAAGGAGGATTAGAGATAACGAAACCTTGGTGTGAGCGGTGAATTAGTACCAGCTAGCGTAGTTCGAGAGAATACATCTAGTAAATTGTGGTAGTTGCTCGAGAGACAGCTACGATACTCAAAGTTCTCACGATCGGTAGAGAATACTTAGGCAAAATTGTAGAAAACGTAGCGGGAGAATCCTGACAATTGGGGAAATCATAACCCTATACCTCCTTAGTCTTGTTAGTTGATAATTTTACTACTTTTTGTATTTGTTAATTAATTAGTTTAAAATAAAAAAAATTACAATCTTTATAACTAGGAAATTATTTGAACTTGTATTTTTTAGCAATACTGAACAATTGTAGCTAAGCCTTAGTTCTCTATGGAATTCGACTCCGAAATTTTAGACCGGATATATTTGCAATGACTGCTTATCCTTTTAAGGACTAGAGTTGAGCGTGATCAGTGCCCCTTTATGATCTATGTGGATCATGTTTGAGGTTACATATAGGTTAATCACTCGATTGAATATAATAATTGCTATTTTCATGATGTAATTGCCCGATTTGAGCTATGGTAGCACACTTCGCACATGTCTACACTTTAGTATGTCACTTATACCAGTCATGAGTACGAAATTTGATATATATTTTTTATGTACATGTAAACTTGTATATCTGCTTTCTGTGCAATATGGATTGGAGTGGTAGCACGTGAGTTTTCGGTGCAGTTGTGATTATTGGTACATGAGTTGTTCGTGCGGGATTATTACTATTGGCACATGAGTTGTCCATGAGGGATTGTTATTATTGACACGTGAGTTATCTATGCGAGGTTGATATTATTTGGCAAATGAGTTGTCCGTGCAGCACGTGAGTTATTCGTGCGCTTGATATAATTTTCCACGTGAGTTATTCATGCATCACGTGAGTTGTCCGTGTAGTTGATATATGATAGCACGTGAGTTGTTCGTGAGGATCCGAGATATTACTTTGCACGTGAGTTGTCCGTGCAGCACTTGAGTTGTCCGTGCGGTTGATATTATTGGCACATGTGTTGTCCGTGCAACACTTGAGTTATCTGTGCGGTTGATATTATTTGCACGTGAGTTGTCTGTGCAACATGTGAGTTGTCCGTGCAGCGTATGATTTTCCTAGGGTCACCCTCTTATATTTCTCTATTTACGGTGTACACGCAATTTGTGAGAAATCGACGAGTTTCTGGTTGATGCGGACTTTGGTAAAGATGATCATTGGTTGAACATTGCAGTTCTTCTCTACTCTCAATTTCCTTGGATGTATATATGATTTTGTTGCATCACTTCTCTATTTGCTAGGTTCGGAATATATACATGCCATTATGCATATCTTCTTCATATGCCACCTTACATGATTAGATGAGGCACGATACATATCTTGTCTATAAGTGAATCCGTGTGACTTGACTTATTTAATAACACATATCTTCTCTATGTGCAAGTTTGATGATTTAATGCTATTGGATGCATATGCTGGATTGTTAACCGATTCAGGACTTACCACATTATCTCTTTGTGCACCGATATGGTTTTATCTGTGTTGTATGATTGGATGGCACCACTGTTGTGTACCTGTGAAATACAGGAATTGAACAGGTTATTAGTGAGTATCATTAATAATTCTTGACATTGATGCCTCGCCGAGGTTAGTTATGATACTTTTTTAGCACATGGGGTCGGTTGTACCCATTCTACACGTCTGCACTTTGCGTGCAGATCTTGGAGTTGATACTGTTGTGGATGATGGGAACTGGCATTGAAGATGTACCTGCTTTCCGCATATAGCTACCACTTGTCCTTGATAGTTTTAGATTCGTATTCTGTTTATGTATTTTCAAACAGATGTTGTATTTACTTTCATACCAGCTTGTAAATTTAAGTCTTAGGGTGTGTTTGTTATGAAGGAAAACATTTTCCGGAAAATATTTTCCAATTTTCCCATGTTTGGTTGCCTTAAATGTTTTGGAAAATATTTTCCTTATCAATTTATTTTCCTCCAATTGGAGGAAAATGTTTTCCTTAGCAAGAGAAGGGAAAACATTTTCCAAAGCTCCTTCTCAACCTTCCCCACCCTCACCAACCCACCCTACCCCCTCTCCAAAAAAACGATTTTTTTTTCAAATTTCAGTTTTTCCATTACCACCC